AATTAGACTGCGATAATTCTTTCGAAAGTGCCCCCTGCCTCATCAATTTTAGTTAAGGCTCATTTTTGTTTTTTTTTAAAAAAAAAAAAAAAAAAAATTATTAATTTTAATTAATAAATGAAAATGAAAAAGTTAATATAATATCATTTCGCAAATCAATAAAAATTGAACTACCTTTTCGTAAATGCTTCGCCTTTTGATTTGCCACCTGAGCTGTAGCGCAATCACCAATAGCATACCTTTAGGATTAAAAAAACGCATACAAATTATTACATATTTAAAATTATTTTTGATAAAATTAATGAACTCTTTACACGTTATTTATAGGTAAACCATTATCTTTGCTTAGAACGCGAAAGTTAATGATCTGTAAAAAAAATTATTATATATTTTAGAATTAACACAAGTTACTATATCAAGGGTAATTTGTCGAGGGTAACTTTTACTAAATCCAGCTTGACACTATGCCTTTTCGCTGATTGATCTTTCATTATGTGATCACCCATAGCTCGAGTAAACGGATTGTCCGTTAAACCTAACGAAAATGAGATAAAAAAACTCACTGATTAAGCTAGTAACTTGCCATGTAAATTACGTTGTCAGGTAAGATTTAATTTTAATAAATTAGTTGCGCAACCAAAATTTAGAACACAAGTGAGAAGCATTGCTTAACGAACTTTACACTAACCGTTAACGCAAATGAATAAAATAAATAGTTAATGAACTTGAATAGGTTATTTTAAGTTCGTTAATTAATTAATTAATCTTTAGACTTACTAGTGTCACAGGGAGTTTTGATAAGGGTCAACGATTATTACTATTGGCAAAATTGTGAATATTGTAAAAACGTAAATATCGTAAAATTCATAGAATCTATAAAAGATATAAATAAAAGATGTAAACAATGTAAATTCTGTTAAATTTGTAAATTGGACGAAAGTTATAAAAGTCCTTCCATTTGACCTTTGTAACAACAACCTGCGGATTTTAAACCTTCGTGTTTTGAATAAATCTAAATAAATAAAGTTTCGACCAAGTAAACCTGTGATTGCACGTGGCGTTATTAAACCTGAGTCTTCATTAGTTGGAGAACTTCTGCAGAACTAAGAGAGAATAATTTAAGAGTTAATAAAGGAAAGCAATAAAGAGAAAGTATTAAGATAAGAAAAGAGACATATCTTGTTCGACCAAATCGTACGCTTCGGCCGGGAAAGCCTTAATCACCTAGTTAACGTTACGCGAGAAATCTGATTGTTTGCTTTTGTGTTGTTGGTTGGTATATTTCCACTCACGATACTAGTTAAATTAACGCGTATATAATAATTGTGTAAAAGAAAAAAAACCTTATGTTTCAGATTAAATACATTTTACCATCATAGACATGGTAGGTTTATATTGCATCATTGTGGCCTAAAATGACCACTCAGCCGAGGTTCTTTTGCATTTTTTTTCCCGACATTTCTTTAGAGAAATGTCTCGAAACGATAAATACGATATCGATGGTACAAAATATAAAACCACTGATAAAGTGATTCGCATTTTTCAGCATCTGATAGTGAATCAATGGTAAACAATAAACCTCGAAGGAAGTGAGCATACCTTTTAATATTGTTACTGAATGTAAATTATGCTTTCCCTGCTCGATATTTCACGATGACCAAGCCTGTGGATGCTCAACTGAACCAAGCAACTTCAGTGACTTTTCATACTACATTTATTTGAGATAGTAGTTCTTTGCACTAATAAAGCCAATAAACCACCAAGAAGTTGCTGGTTTTTATTACAAAAAACCTGGTAAAAAATAAAACCTTTTTCTTGAAAATGGCCTGTGTCTCATTCTCAAAACAAAGATTCATTCTTGAAAATGGCCTAATGGGACTACGTTTCATTCTCAAGACAAAAATTTTTGTTTGAAAATAGCCTAATAGAACTATGTTTTATTCTCAAGGCAAAGATTTGCTGTGTTTACATTTTTTTATGATCTGCATTTTTATAAGCAAATTTTCTGTGTAATAATAGATGTTCGATATACTACTGTTACTAATTAAAATTGTGCCAATCATTATAATGATAGTTGTACAAAAGTTAGTTGAATAATTAATGATTTTTTAGTAGATAAATATTAGCTGAATGTTAGCTGAATAAGTGCTATTTAGTACAAAAGTTATTATTTAGCTATTACTCAATATATGATACTAGAACTTTGAGCAATCTATGTACAATTAAGATTTTTAAAAAATCTTAACAAATTACTAAAAAATTAAAAGATCTGTATAAAAATAGTTAAAAATAAGTATATATATTACTAAAAATAGTAAAAATCTGTAAAAAAATAGTCAAAAATAAGCAAAAGTAAATTCTAATCTATCTATATATAGCTCAGAGTTCTATGATACTTGGCAAACATTTAGAATGAAAATTATAAAATATTTGGTAATCATCTAAATTTAGTAATATTTAAAAGTAGATATTTATTTTTATTTTTATTTTTTTTTATATCTTAAGTGATCTTGCCTGTCATTTATTAAGAGAAAGCTTAACAAGAAGCTACAAAACA